CGCGGAGCGGCTGGGCCCGTGAGCCACGGCCGCTGGGCCTGCGTGTCCGGAGCCTGTGCTCCGCAACGGGAGAGGCCACGACAGTGAAAGGCCCGCGTACCGCAAAAAAAAAAAAAAAAAAAAAAGATGGGGGTACTGAAACCAAGCGTAATCATTAGTCAAATCCATTTTACCTGTAACCTGCCTTCACTAATCAAAGTCCTTTTAAGACTTGCAAGTCCTCCAAGCAGCACTTTGCCTGAATAATATGATGTTTGCCCGAGTTGTTGTCTAGGAACTTGGAGTCAGCTGTGTCTGGTTCCAACTGAGCTGGTTAAGACTGGTTAGGACCACTGACCCTCCAACTGGGCATGCCCAAGTGTCTGCTGACCTTTTGGCATCAGAGGGCTGAAAACTCCACCCTCAGAGCACGCTAAGCACCTCCATTTTGGAACATGCAGAGCCCTGTAGCCTAGTTACACTTGGGCAGAATGACAATTACTGCACCTTTTTCCAATCACCTTTCCCCAGCCTCAGACCACCCTGCTGCTTTATTCTTTATCCCATAAATACACCGAGCCCCTTGCCTTCGCTCAGGTAGACCTGAGACTTTCTCCTTGCATGGCTGCCTTGCGAATAAACCCTCTTTTTGCTGCAAACCTCGGCATCTCAGCGTTTTGGCTTGCTTGCTGCTCTCTGGCAAAACAAACCTGGTTTGGCAACAACAGCCCTTAAACAACAGAATGCAACAGATGTGACACTTTGCCAGTTCCAGGCCTAAACCTTAAGAAAGCTTGGCAGCTTCTGCTTTCGCATTCTGGGAGAAGATGACCACCATGTAAAAAGCTTAACTGTCCAGAGACTGCAATACTGTAAGAAGCTCAAGCTAGCTACGTGGAGAACTAAGGTCTGGGCCACAAGCTGCCAACCATGTGAGGGAGGCCAGCTCGGATGTAGATCCTCCAGCCCCACTGAACCATCCCAGGTGACACTAGGTGAAGCAGAGAAAACCTGTCCCTGCTGAGCCTTGCCCCAATTGCAGAATAATAAGCAAACAAAACAGTTGTTGTTTTAATTCACTAAGTTTTAGGAAAGTTAAGCAGTGACAGATAACTGACACAGTGCCCTGAACTCCTGCATAACCCTATGTTCTAATAGTAATCAGCACACCAGTGGAATGAAAATGCTGATTACCAACACAACATCCAGCATTTTCTCACCTGAACAGCATCACCGTTGAAGACCCCATCTATTATGAAATAAGTCCAGAACACAGGCCATTCACATTCAATGTTTTCAAAGAGCTTGAGTTCAGCAGGGTCATAATGCAATCGGTTTGGGTCCTGGAACCAAACAGGTAAACCCTCTAAAAGGTAATGTCAGATTACATACATAATACCATTGTACCTCACTGGGTGTCCCTTGCTTTCTGATTCAATGCAGCTTTGAGGCTGGCATAATTAGGATTCTGCTATAATGGGGAGATGCTATTTTTGGCAGTTTTCCATGGTAACATTTCAGAAAAGTAAATCAAATGTACACAACACTCCTGGGTAGTTTATTATTTAAAGCTTACTATATCTCTATAACAAATAAATAGCAATTTGCCTCTCACAGTGCTGGGCAGACTATCTGTTTTATTGATATCATTATATCAGTCACTATGGCAAAGGAACCCAAGGAGGCCACAGGTAGCCTTTTAAAAAAACGTGTGAGCCACAGAACTGTTTGTCCTTGTCTAAAAGCTGGTTTTAAACCACCAGCTTGCTGTCCTCCAGATGATCTTACTATTCTATTGCCTAACTCCAGCTTGCCGACTCCAAAATTAAGACTTGCTTCCAATATTCCAACATGTAAGTTTTATATTCCAACATGTAAATTTTATAATCAACGGAGGGAGAACACCACAGTGGCAACTTAGATATGAAGCAGTTAAGGAATCAGAAGAAACAATCTTTAAATACAACCTCTCTTGGGGTTTTATAACCATCTCGAAGGAAGCGACAGCATCCATAACGCCCCTAAGAAGATAAAGAAAAAAGATGCATTTGATGAAACAGAATTTCTTTGCCTCTTTGATTCAAGTCAGCCCTTCACCCCCTTTCCCATGAACCTTTTAGTAACAAAATGGGTACCAAATGCTCTTTGCTATCAGTACAAAAACTTATTTTTAAGTAATAAGCAAAGTAAATTCAGGTTTGATCAGTGCTTGGAAGGGAATGCCAAAACCTTCCATTAGAGTGGCAGTCAGGGCTGAGAGATTAATTACCGATAGTTCACTGAATGACCATTCTTTCATTCTGATTTGCTGTATCGTGCAAAGATGCAAAGGGGCCCTTACTACTTGGAGAAGCCACCAAGGCAGATACGTGGATTGACTGGACTGCTTCTACTGGAAAGACTGGAAAGCCACAGGACATTCCAGACTCCTCGCAGTTAGGCTCCGGATGCAAAGAAGCCTGCACCTGGCAAGAAGTAGGTGAGGGAGGTGGCAGGGCTCCCTGTGGCTTAGGGCCATCGCTGCTGGTTTTCCTGCTGCAGGCTCCAGTGTTCCTCTCCAGCTTCTTGGGGGTCAGGAAAGAAGGACAGTGGCAGTGCTCTCTGAATCTGCCTCCCTAATCCCTGGATTGCAGTTTTGGGTGTCCACTGCCCAATTTATTAAGTAAGTGGCACTGCTCTAGCACTGGCCATGGAGGCAGGCACGCTCCTAGTGGCCAGCCCTGTAGTGTTCGGGGCATCCTGGGAGGCCCGGTCTTGAACTGCTCCCCTTGAAACGCTTCATTCCCTACATTAATTCCCTGCCTACTTCCACAAACTAAAGAGGTTCTGTTCTCTCCACTGGCCCCTAACTGAGACAGTGCCTTCTTTTGGGGATATGGTTGGAGACCCTTTACCCCTTTGTTTCCAAAGGCTAAAAGCATTTTTCACCAAATCTAAGTAGGATCATCAAATGCAGATTTCAGTTTAGGAAACTTACATTCTTCAATCATTTTACTGATAACTTCAGTTGGCTGGAGTACTGAATAACCTTCTCAGTTTGGTGTAATGTGTCATAGTTGCTGCATTTCACCTCGGAGCGGGGATTTTTTTTAACCTCAATTTAACTTTGGGGTCTCCAAGTCCCCAGAAATTGTGTGTAAAGTTTCAGGATATTGGGACATGTACATTTTTTTCTGGTGGGGACTTTACCTTTCAAGAGATTCTTAAAAGAGTCTGTCTGGGATCTCTAAAGGGTTAAGAAGCTCTGCCTTAGAAGTACAGGAGTGATACGAATTGGGGTTTAAAGGTGCCAGCTTGAATTGAAGCTCTGCTACTTAGAAAGAGAACTAAGGCATTGATCACTCCAAGACTTATCCAGACTCAGCTTTGGAAACCTCAATCATGAGTCAACTTAGATACTGAGCAACTGATCTCATGGAGAACCGAGGCCTGGGTGAGCTGCTCCACGTCACTGTCTGAAAGGGGCACTTAACACAGGGCAGAAGGGCACCAGTGTGACCAATGCTTACCTGGAGCTTGGAAATAATTTCATTTTTGGTCACATTCACAAGGTTCACATCTTCCACTGCAAAGGCCGGGAAAGAAATAATGGAAAGAAGCCCAGCATCAATCTCTTTAGATGTCGATGCTCTTGGCAGCATGGAGAACAGAATAGACTGAACGAAAAACAAACAGGTGGCTTTAACCTCGGAAGCACTAATACTTACATACAGTATCTAGAAACGACGACTTTACCCCAAGGGAACATTTGAATGAGTTTGCCAATTTTGAGCAGAGCTTTTTCCTACCAACATGGCCCCTGCTGGGTGACCTCGCCAATGCTTCCTGCTCCTTGCAGGAGAAAAGGGGTCTGGGGAGAGCAGTAGTATGCCTGGAGCCCATGCTGAGAACTGTTTGTCTCCCTTCCTTTCGTGCCTTCTGTTGACTTCACTGGGCCTTTAGGACATGCAGGGAAGGGACTAAGGACTACCTTGTCAGTAGGCTAGCGTGTCCTGGCTGTGAAGATAAGAGACAGAGAAGAACACACATATGGGACCAGGCCAGAGAAATGTCTGGCTTCTGTGGAATGTGACCAGTTGGACTGGGTGACCCAGGAACTACTTAAAGGAGTCAAATTCAAAAGACCACATGAACAGGCAAAATGGTTTAGTCAAAACAGAATTAGTTTAGTCCTAGAAAGAATGGGTTACTTAGTGGCACTATAATATGGCCTCAATTATAAGGTGGTTGGATTAGGTACTGTAAACTAAAGGAAGGTGAAATTATAAAGAAAAGTTTGGGAAGGGAAGAGAGCTAACACTGAGATCTAACATGTACAGACATGGGACTAGACCCCTGCAAACATAAGCTTATTAAATCTTCTATATGAAGAAGGAATTCGAGAACTACGTCCAATTCACACGTGAGGACTCTGAGACACAGAGACTCATGCCTAAATGCACGCAGCCAGTCTGCGACAGAGCTAGGATTCTAACCCAGGTCCAGCTGGCTACAGAGCTCATGCAATCTCTACTAGGGACTACACATCTATTAAGATGCATACCAGCTTGACTTTATTAAACCACACCCAAAGAAATAGCAGACTCCCCATTAAGGACTATATAATGGAGGGAAATGGAAAGAGCTAGAAGGAGTTAAATATGGGGGGGAGCCCTTCAGCTTCAGAACAAAGCTTCATTTTCTATAGCCAAATGACCCCCAAGCCCAGTTCTTTAACTAGTCGCTCTCCCTCAGCTCTCTGCCTGAAACACACAGTCCCACCGGAAGCGCTCTGCTTACAGGTTTTATGTATCTCACTCCCACAGCCCTAGCACAGTGCCTGGCACGCAGTAAGCCCTCACTAAATAAGAGTTTGCTGATGTGTCAGCAACTGGTGACCTACTGTCTGCTAAATGGAGTCCCCTAATCTGCATCAAATCACACCTTTCTCTGACCGGTATTTCAGGGAGATTTTACTAATTTGCCATTTCTCCCATATCATCTCTCCTCCACCATCCATTCTGCCCATTCCCACTCCCTCCCCAAGTGAACTACTGCCTGCTAGTCATCCAATTTGGGGACCTCATGAAATAAACCTGAGAGAAAACCACCTACATGCTCAAAAAACATAAAACCAATTTTGCCTCCAACGAAACAAGGCTGCCTTGATTATTGACTCCGTATACAACATCATCACTGTGTCTTATGTTTGCACAGTACTTTCTGGTTTACAAAGTAGTACTCTGACAAACTAAGTTGATTTACTCTGATCCTTGTGACCACCCTGTGCAGCAGGAGAAGGTCCCAGTATGCCCATTTTATGGATGAGGGAACTGAAACTCAAAGAAGCCAAGTCCCATCAAGCTAGGAAGGTGAGGATCTGAACTGGAGCCCAAGTCTTCCACTTCATGAGTCTCCTTCCCTACTCTCTGGAACGTGAGAGCCTTGAGCCATTACCTGGCAGTGTTCGACCTCATCGGGCAGAACGTGGATCACGGACTTGCGACCTCCATGGGCTCCAAAAAGGTCCAGTTCGTCAATTGCCTCTAGGGCTGCCTACAAGCACAGGTATGAATTACTTTTTCTTGCTAGTACACATACACTCCCACATCTGGCACCCCTTTTTCATTAAGCAATCTAGCATATATGTTTTCCCAAACGTGGTAAAACAAATCTTTAAAATCCACTAAAGTGTCTTATACTCGTGTTCTATCCTTATTTTCAGTGGATAAGAGCTTTCCTGTGTTTTGCTGCTCACTGCAGGAACAAGAAAGAGAAAATAGAAAACCATTTCCCAAAATGAAATTACTATTCTACCCAATAATGAAACATTAACAACACAGCTTTGTGTGTGTAAGGGGTGGAGGGCTAAATTCATGGGCGGCTTTTCTTTCACCTATTTTAGCGGTTGACTTCTAACATTAGCATATTTGGCACTTAAAAATGTTAACTTCTTTTAGTATTAAGTATGTTTTCTGTCAGTTGACCTTAACAGAGCAAATTTATCGTTGCTTTAAAAATTCTAGTTCTGGAGTCTTTATTCTGTCTAAAATTATGCTTCAGTCTTGAGGAAGAGGGGAGGGAGGAGGCATGCTAAATGTCTAGGGCAAGACATGTCAACTGGTGGCCAGCGGGCTGAATCTGCCCTACAGGCATGTTTTGTTTGGCCTGAGGAAGTTTTTTAAATGATTTTGAATTAGAATACCTACAGAGAAAGTTTGCAGCGTCCTCAATACCCCCTGATATTTTTCTATCTGGCCGGCTTCACTTGTTTATATTACTCGTCTGACCTGACCCTGTAGACTTTTAAACTTGTGAGCCCTGTCCTACAAAGTGGTCATATTCTTCAGCCCCCCTTTATGACCCAGAAAAGAAGACTGGACATCACACATCCAGCTTCTTCGACAACAGCAAGAGCTTAGACGTGTGGGTGATAACAACGGATGGTAAGGAGGGAATGCACTTATTTTCAGGTACACGCAGATTTTGGTGTAAGAAACCTACATTTTTTTACCTATAATTTCAGTTGGCTGGGGTACATGTGCCACTTGAATTCCATACTTGCTGCTGACTTTTGAAAAATATGCTAATCAGATCAAATCCAAACCCCTAACGATGAGAACCAAACCAAAGCAGTTACAGACGCACAGAAGGAAGAACAAACAGGACGAGACTGTCACCTTGGCCATTCCTACAGAGCTTGCATTCAGTTCTGGAATGCCCTGATTGGTCTTATCTCCACGTTCCCACATTCCATAATCCTGCGGGAGAAAAAGGGAAAAAGAGGTATATGAAAAGTGCTATGGAAAAATGATTCGTTCACGTCACTGAAGGCATAAAGAAACATGAATATCTCTTCTCGAAGGCTACGAAATTCATGGCTTTACATATTCGAGCTGCGTTCTTTCTCGATTTCAGTTCATTTGACCTCTGGGTAGACTTTTGGAAGTAAATACTCAAGTGGAACAAAAATGCATACAAAGACACTCTCAATTTTCTTATTTCTACAGTTAGTAATTTGTAAGAAACTCTTGATTTGTAGAGACCAGAGCATTTTATCTTAAAATAAAAGGCTGCCCTTTACTTATCTAATACGTTTGAACTTGTATTAAATTGTAAGATGGAATAAAGAAACTTTAACAAATGGGTTATAACTAGGTGAAGCCAACCAAACCATTTAAAATAATTTAATACCTACTTTTAACATTACCTCTTGGGAAAAAAATGCTCAGCAACTAATAGAAGCCAAAGTCAAAACTGAGGCTCAGAATACTGGACTTTCCTGGTATTTTGAAACAAATTAATAGGAACTGGCTTAGAACACCCCGTCCACATAGACGACTTGATACATGCATACCTAACTTTTATAGTTGATATTTTCACTGAAGAAACCCAAGCACTGGATACCGTTTTGAAATAATGCTATATGCACTACTGAAAGGCTGCAACCCAAGAAGAACAGGACCAATGCCAAAATTTTGGCATTTATTATTACAGAGAAAGATGAACATTTTCAAAATGAGCTCACTCTCCAGCATAAGAGTCTAAAATGAAGACCTGTTTATTCCCTAGTGGATCACGTTCAAATCTCTCTCTCTGTATGGCGATACCTCTATTATCCAGCCCCACCTCCTGCACGTCCACAAGCTGACTTTACTTTCTACTATTCTTAAGTACTCAGCTTTCACCCTAAGAATACTCCTTCACTCTGCACCCCCTTTCCCCAAGCTGTTCCCATGCTCACAGCCTGTTCCTGCCTCTGTTATTGTTCCTGCTACTCCCACACCCTTTTCCCTCCCTTCTGCCAATCTAAACCCTACTCATCCACCAAGGTCCAACTGAAGTCCCGCCCTTTCCACAAAGACTTCCCAAGTTTCTTTAGACCAGGGTTTGTCAACCTCAGCACCACTGACATTTGGAGCTTGATCATTCTCTGTCGTGTGGAGCTGTCCTGTGCACTGCAGTATGTTCAGCAGAATCGCTGGCCTCTACCCACTGGATGTCAGTAGCACTCTCCCCAGAGTGACAGCCAAAAACGTCTCCAGACATTGCCAAATGTCCCCTGGGAGGGGAAGACTGCCCGTGGTTGAGAATCGCCACTTTAGACCTGGGGTCAGCAAACTACGGCCCTTGGACCAAAACAGTTTGCCACCTGTTTTTTGTAAATAAAGTCTATTTGGGACACAGCCACGTTCACGAGTTCACGAGTTGCCTATGGCTGCTTTTGTGGTACAATGGCAGAGTTGAGTAGCAGCAACAGAGACTGCAGAGCTGAAAAAATTTACTCTCTGGCCCTTTACAGAAAAAGTTTGCTGATCCTTGCTTTAATGGCTTTTTAGAAAAAAAGAAAAAAAAAACAAACTACCCTTTCCTTACTGCTCTTATGGTCAGCTTTGCAGTTTAGCTGTTCTCTACAAGTGTCAGGCTCCACTCTCTGTAGCAGACAAAAGCCTGGAGGAACTGAGTTTCTACATATTTACACCCGCACACACCTGGCCCAGGGCACACATCTGGCTCCAGCCTCCTACCTCTGGGCTGCCTGGGGTGATCCCCACGGCACCGCAGCTCCTGCGGTGTTGCCCTTCATCCTGATTCAGGCTGGCCTGTGCACGTGCCACAGGACATTTTAGAGTCTTATTTAAAATAAGCGTGATGGATTCAAACAGAGCATGTGGCACATTCCAAAAACAGAAGCTCCCCAACTGAGCTCCTGGACAGAAACGTGCACTTTGTGTGCAGAGGTGACGTAATCTTATAGCTCTAATCTTGCTAACTTCTGGTCAGCCCCAAACAGCCTGGCCCTCAAAGAGCTGTATGATTTTTATTCTTTTTGACACTGGGACACCTGAAAAAAAAAACACTGGGTTTGACACTTACAGCGACTTTATATGCAGCTTCTATATAAAAAACAAGATTCTGTATGAAGGCCACCTCGTCAAGAGTGAAAATAATACGTAAGCCTAGTAAAGAAAAACAAACAATGGAGTTAACGGAATTATGTTGTGAAGAGAGAGCTGCCAATTACAAATTACAAATATTACACTAGGAAATAAATCCTTTTACCCTCATTTTCATTTTTCTTACTAGGGCATCAAAAATTAAGTATGAAGTAAACTGTAACAGTTAATGTCTAATCTCGGAAGGAAGGAAGGAAGGATGGGGGGAGGGAAGGGAGGAAGGAAAGAATGGCTCCACTTTTGTGTGTGTGCCTAGGAGTAGAAAGGATCGAAAGAGAAGATGTGGGGCTTTCGGGTATGTGTTGGATTTGTGCAGAGAAGATTCCACAAAGCAAGCATTTTAGCCCAGAGCAACCACTGTCTTATCTTTGAGTGAGCCAAAGGGCGGGTACTTTTCCCCAATGGCAGATGGGGAAAGTAGAGCCCTCAACTACAGGAGATGGCTTTTCACCTCATAGATCTGCCCAGGTGGCTACATCAACGTGTTAAAGCAGGCAGTGACCAGGAGAGCTGGTTTTTTGCTTGGGTCCTTGAATGTATAACTGGTTATGACAAATACATGTTTTTATTTATTTTTTGGTTCTCCTGTTGGATTTTTAAAATTTTTATTTTATATTGGAGTATAGTTGATTAACAATGTTGTGTTAGTTTCAGGTGTACAGCAAAGTGATTCAGTTATACATATACACCTATCTATTCTTTTTCAAATTCTTTTCCCATTTAGGTTATTACAGAATACTGAGCAGAGTTCCAACATGTATTTTTATTTTTTTAATTTATTTATTTATTTTTGGCTGAGCTGGATCTTTGTTGCTGCACGCGGGCTTTCTCTAGTTGCAGTGAGCGGGGGCTACCCTTTGTTGCGGAGCACGGGCTTCTCATTGCGGTGGCTTCTCTTGCTGCGGAGCATGGGCTCAGGTACATGGGCTCAGCTGCTGTGGCTCGCAGGCCCTAGAGAGCAGGCTCAGTAGTTGTGGAGCACGGGCTTAGTTGCTCTGCGGCATGTGGGATCTTCCTGGACCAGGGCTCGAACCCGTGTCCCCTGCATTAGCAGGCGGATCCTTAACCACTGCGCCACCAGGGAAGCCCCCAACATGTATTTTTAAAGTATGAATTCTTGAAGCTGGTATGGGTATGGTAAGATATGCACCCTTAACATCACTGGGGGAAGTTTAACTAGTAAACTGCTCTGAAAACAATTTAGCAATAAGTATGAGTAGCCTTTGAATGATATCTAACTACGGGAAGGAAGCAAATAGAGATGGGGGTCAAAGTTGGTATTGCAACATAGTTATAATAGCAAAAAAAAAAAAAAGAATAAAGGAATAGTTAAACTAATTATGGAATATCCACTGACAAAGTCATTAAAATTATGTTTATAAACAGCTTGTAATAACAAGGGGCAAATGGTTAAGTTATAATGCTATGTAATAAAAAGACTATATTTATGCATATAGTATGACCTTAAGTATGTTTTTAAAATGCATAGAAAAAAAAAACTTGGAGGAGACACATTCGAATGAAAGTTGGCAGTGATATTTTTTTTCTATGTATTTCATTATATTTCCCAAAATATCTACAGTGAGCTCATGTTAACTTTCATAACCAAAACATATTTTTTAAAGTGCCTGGTTTATTCACGAAGCCATAACAGTATTATTTACTGACTTCTCCTATTTTTAGAGTTTCACATTTGCAGCCTGAAATAAATGGGAAGCCTCTAACTCAGGAGTGTGAATTTAGGGGACTGGAGATAAGAACTCTGAGACACAGCAGCTAAGTGACCTAACTTGAGGCTATTTGGTGCACAGAGCGGGGCAGCAGCTTGGAGCTTGGGAGGCCTGGTGTCCAGGCCTCCATGAAAGCCAACAGCTTGGGCTTCAACGAGAACAATGCTCACAACCCAGGAGTTTTTGGCCCACTCACAGCATGGGTGCTATGGACTGAAAGACAACTCTGGGCAAACTGCTGACTTCTAGAAATTATGTTGTTTGTTTATAATTTGGATAAACGAGGGTGTGTCTAAAGAGGGTGACAGGGTAGTGAGAGGAAGAGCTGAAGGGCCTGCTACTCCTGGAGAAGAAAACTCTAAAATGGAGCATGACACCGTCTGCAGATATTTGAACTGTTGAACGTAGATCTGACCTAGGTTGGTCCAATAATTAGGCGACAGAGACAGCAAGGAAGCTTTGGGACCAACCAGTGAGATGCTGACAGAGCTGGCGCAACAGCCCTCGTCCTGCAAGGGTTCAGGAGGCTGACTGTCAACAGAGCCACAGAGTAGCGCACATAATGCAACGCAAAAAGAAGCATGCTTTTTCTTTACAGAAATAGCTTATTTTGAATACTGATCAATGCCTGCCCCTCCCCGCCCCCTTCTGGATTGTCACTCCCAGTACAATGAGGTCAATCAGCCCTGGCTCACCGGAGGCAGTCATCTGGGCCAGAAACAGGAGGAAGAGGGAGGTGGCATCCACCTGGAGGTGGCCCCACTGGTCGTCGCCCACCACGGTGCTGCAGGTGGCGGTGTCGTACTTGGCATGCAGGCTGTCCTTGGTACTCTGAGTGTGCTTGAACCTCTCCACTTTATTCACCTGAGAAAGCAAGTCGGCTGCTCGCAACTAAGGGGTTCATGGCTGGCAAAGGTCAATCTCTTGGATCTAGACCTTTTATCTGTTACCTCTGGGAGCCAGTGGGATGGAAGGCAGGGGATGGATGTTCACTAGTGAGCACCACACAGAGAGGCTGTGCGGGGGACTCTTCCTGCCCATCACCAGAAATGTCTGAGCCCAGCGCCATTTTAACAAGTTCTGCAGGGCTGAGGGGTCAAGCCGCAGGGTTTCCTTGTCTGATATCTCCAGCATGAGCTGTGACACACAGTAGGAACTCAATGAGAGGGAGGGAGGAGGGGAGGGAGAGGAGCCTCCTCTTCCTCTTTAAATTTCCAATCTTGTTTCCTTATGTTGAAAGGGAAAGAGCAATGTCGTCTTTGAAGACTAATGAGGCACGTGCCGATTAAGGGTCGGGACTGTATGATATTTATCTTGGGATCTGTGTAGATCTTAGTATGATGTTCTGTATACAATACATGCTCAACAAATTGTTTTATTTACCCCTCACTGAAAATATCAATAATATTAATGTCAAGTTTTAAAAACTCAAGCATTTCAACTCAAAAGAAACCCTTTTATAAACTCAACAGAATAAACAACAGTACATGGCTTTCTAGGAGTGGCTTTTAAAAACAACATTTTCTTCCCTGTTTAAAAAAAAAAGGGCACATTCTCCTTTTACACAAGTTAACTCTTGAAAAGAGATTCTGAGAAAGTATTCTTTGACTCTGGTTCTATAGCATAATAAAATTATTGAAGATAATTTTAAAAGGAGAAAGTAAGCAAAATATTTTCAATTTCTCTTCATCTTGAGAAAAAAAGTTCAAAACACTTTAAGAGTGTTAGTTGTCACCATGAATATGAAGTGCCCACTCAGAGGACCCAAAAATACATCTGTCGTTTTCCACTTACCTGTCTCATCATGCACTGGAGAAGACCCCGCATCAGTTTCACCACGTTCTACGGACATAAAATGGAATCAGTAATAAGGCCAGCTTCCCTGCTCCATGAAAACAACCTCCTCACCACATGGCTGGTAAGCCAGTGCTGCCTGGAGCCTTCCCCGAGAAGGCATATACATGCATTCTGATTGTTTAGGTTATTTCTATCCACTGCATCACAAAGAAATTCTTGACGAAGTGACTTATCTCAAATAAAGGAACTGGACCAGATGGCACCTCCTGGCACTGAAATCCAGTGACTCCTGCTTTTAGCAAGACAATTTTTATAAGCCTAGTACCCTGGAGCTTTATATCACAATTCTTAGTAATTTATTTTTGTTATACTAAGGATGAATTAAGTCCACCACCATGCCTGCCCCAAAATAATGATGCTTTGCCAAAATAGCCATTTGTGACACCATTACTGGACCACTGAGTAAAGTTCTTACAAAATGCAAGTAGCTGCCAACGTTTCTTAATAATATGTATTATTATTATAAATAATATCAATACCACTATGATAATCAGACGTTCTGTCCTGGTATTGTACAAAACTCTTTACCTGGATTCCCACTAATTCTTGCAACACCCTTATGAGGTGGGTGTTATTATTTTCCCACTTTATAGATGAGGATCCTGAGGCTGATGAAGCAACATTGCTCAAGTCTCTCCGCTGAAAGGAGGGGGAGCAAGGACAAAGCCCAGGCCCTCCGACTCCAGAGTTTGAGCTCCTAGTCAATACATTGTGTTGCCTCCCACTTGCTCCACAATTCAGGCCCACTGAAAGACTGGTCTTAATATGTCCTATTAAAAACTCTATACAACTACTTCACAAGTGGCTGGAGAATGGGATATTTTTAGGTCAAAGTAGCCTGGCTGAAAGAAGTTCCCACCCAGGGCCATCAGCGTCTCCTCTCTTATAGAATGCACATGGTTTGCAGGGGAAGACATAGTGAAGGGCCACGAAAGTTAATTGCCAAAGTCTGAAATGGATCACCCTTTAGATTCTTCCATCTCTAAAATCCTAGGAGTCTAGAGTATAATCTCACTTTATGTCATAAACTCTTTTGATGCAGAAAATATTACCTCATAATTAAAAGGTATAATTAACACTGTTATAATTAACATTTCCTACGGTGTTCAGCGTAAACATTTGCCAATCGACTTCCCCTCAAATAAAGAAAAGTTATTTTCCATTGTGAAGAAGCACAGTGGTTCCCAACTGGTGGTGACATTACCATCCCTGGGGATGGGGGAGCATCTGGAAATGTGGGGTGGAGGCATTTTTATTGTCACCATGATGGGGGTGGGAGCTACAGCCTTTAGTGAGTAAGGACTAAGGACACTATATGTCCTGCAACTCATGGGACAGTCTTACACAATAACAACTGTACTGCCTAAGCCCCAAATGCAATAGTGTCCCTGTTGAGGATCATTGGAAGATCCCGTGTTATTTTCCATAATCAAGGGAGATGTCTTCTTTAGTTATTAACCACACTCAACAAATCAAACAGTGTGGCCTATTTGTGCCTCTCTATCGTCAGTCACAGATCGGCAAATCTAGTCTACTGTAACCCCAGAAACTGCTTACAGAGGAGAGGTAGTGTGTGTGTGTGTGTGTGTGTGTGTGTGTGTGTGTGTGTGTACACGCGTGCGGGTGAATAGGCAGGCATGGGTTTACTTGGATTTTGTGTCAGAGGAGGATAGAAAGTTTGGAGGACATGAATATCAAATTATTATACTGTTAAATGAATGATTCACTTATGTAATAGCCAAGTTCTTAGAGGAGCATTCAGTGCTTGCTGTATGCATTTTATTCTCTTTTTTAAAATTAATTAATTAATTAATTAATTATTTCATTTGTTGGCTGCATTGGGTCTTTGTTGCTGTGCGTGGGTTTTCTCTAGTTGTGGCAAGCAGGGGCTACTCATTGTCGTGATGTGCGGGCTTCTCACTGCAGTGGCTTCTCTTGTTGCGGAGCACAGGCTCTAGGCACGTGGGCTGCAGTAGTTGTGGCACGCGGGCTCAGTAGTTGTGGCTCACGGGCCCTAGAGCACAGGCTCAGTAGTTGTGGCACACGGGCTTAGTTGATCTGCGGCATGTGGGTTCTTCCCAGACTAGGGCTCAAATCCGTGTCCCCTGCATTGGCAGGAGGATTCCTAACCACTGCGCCACCAGGGAAGTCCCTATGTGCATTTTCTATACTACCCATTCTTGCCTTACCTCCAAGACTGGGTGATTTCATTACCTCATACTCAGCATGCCTAGTCAAATCCAGACTGTCCTTTCCTTGCTCACAGAGACAGGCTTCCTCTCTTAGCTTCCCTACTGCTGTCAAGGCTGCCGCCACTCATGCCCACTTTGGTTGCTATAAACAATCACCAATTGGGCCGTAAGAACTCTCCCTGGACCTGACAATCCACTGGCTGTGCCAGCCAATGAGAAATGATGAATCAAAGACAAATCCCAAACGCTCTCATGCCAAGAGATCTATACTTTTATACATCAATGCTCCTTACTTCAATGCTATTACTCAAAACACTCTGAAAATACTTCCTGTGCTCAGGGGCAGATTATTTTCTTACATACTTAGTGATGGGCAAGTCTTCGCTTTGGTGGGTATGCTGGTTTCTAATTTTGGAAAACAATAAAAGGTCCTCATTGTGCTGTATGGTAACACAGGCACAAAAATTGGACAACACCAATGTGGTTCAAAATTAAAGGGTGACTATAAATTAAAAAGACTGCTTTGGAATGACTCAAACTGAAAGGAATTTTTAAAGGAAATTCCAAACATGTTTTAAGCAGTGGCAATAATGTTTGGATAAATATCCTTTCAACACGATTACTCCAAAGAGTATACACTTTGGAATGTGTAGTTCTGGTGTGCTGACTCTTTAAAAGCTATCATATTAGTTTATAATGACATCTTGTATATAAGTATGTATAAAATTGACAGAGCACGTGTGAGAGAAATGTAGCTAGTTAGAAATTTGGATGTCTATTCAGTGTGATTTTTGTTGTTTTTTTATGGAGGGAAAAATCTCAAAAGGAGAGACACATGAGAGGCTGAGACCACCAAAGTGCCTCCCCAAAATATACTATAGCAGAAATGGAGGAGAAGCCTGTACCAGACTGTTTTGCACACACAGCTACCTCCTTGTAGGCTTTTCAGTTCAAGGAAAAGGTGCTGAGCGGCCAAGCCACGGCTGCCAGTCAGCCTTACCTGCTCCAACTCGTAGGCCTTGGCTTTGTCCTCATCGCGGTCAGCATTCTTGCGGTAGGCCATGCCCAGGCCCCACACAGCCAGGATGCTGTAGATGTTATCCCGCACCCAGGCGTCCTTCTGCTCATGACTGGCTGACAGCAGCCCCGTGACGGGATTCTATCAGAGAAGACAAAACGATTCAGCACGGCCCTTCACCTAGCTCCTGGGCAATGAACGCTCACCCTAATCAGGGCACGAGGGCTGGGACGAGAAGTGAAGAGACCCTGCCACCAACAGTGTGATCTTGGGTGAGAAGTGACATCACTTTTTCTAGGCTTTGGTTTTCTCATCTGTATAATGAGGATATTAGACTAAAAAAATCTCTGAGGGATCTTCTAACTTGTGAGTACTTGTTCTTTGGCTTTCAGACCAGACCATACTGTTTTAAGTAACGAACAGAAGAAACAGCAAACAGAAAAAGCCTTCAAGGCTTTTACAAATCTGTGCATTACACAATTAGATCTTCCTCTCCCTTTGTGTTTCCACACCATTTAGTAAAGCATTGAACATGGGAGCAAGAGGCCCCACTCTACCACTCTAGCTCAGTGTGACCGGGGAAGCCACCTACCTTAAAAAGGAGGTGCCGAGCAAGGGGCCATCAGGGGCTTCCCTGGTGGCACAGTGGTTGGGAATCTGCCTGCCAGTGCAGGGGGCATGGGTTCGATCCCTGGTCCGGGAGGATCCCACGTGCTGCGGAGCAACTAAGCCCGTGCGCCACAAATACTGAGCATGCGCTCTAGAGCCCGCGAGCCACAACTACTGAGCCTGCGCGCCTAGAGCCCATGCTCCACAACAAGAGAAGCCACCGCAATGAGAAGCCTGCACACGGCAACGAAGAGTAGCCCCCGCTCGCCGCAACTAGAGAAAAGCCCAAGCAAAGCAACAAAGACCCAACGCAGTCAAAAATTAATTAATTATTTTTAAAAGGGGGGGCCATCGGGGTTCCTATGTAGCTATGGTATCACCAGTATTTAAAAGGGCAGCTGAGTCACTAAAAAGCCAGACCTTCACAAAAAGTGTACACAAATGTTCATCACAGCATTATTCATAGTAGCCCAAAAGAGGAAACAACCCAAGTGTCCATCAACTGATAAATGGATAAACAAAATGTGATCCATACGAACAATGAAATATTATTCAGCAATAAAAAGGAATGAAGTACTAATACACGCTACAGCATGGATGAACCTTGAAAACATTACACTAAGTAAAAGAAGTCAGTCACAAAAGTCTACATACTGTATGATTCCAATTGTACAGAATGTCCAGAATAGGAAATCTATAGAGATAGAAAGTAGATTAGTAGTTGTCTAGGGCTGTGGGTAGGAGTGGGATGGGAGGAAATGGGGAGGGAGGGAGGGAGGGAGGGAGTGAGTGAGTGACTGCTAACAGGTTTTTTCCTTTCTGGGGGTGATGAAAACGTTCTAAACTTGACTGTGGTTATGATGTACAACTCTGTGAATATGCTAAAACCCATTAAATTGTACATGCTAGATGAATTGTATGGTAAGTAAATTATATCTCAATAAAGCTATTACTTTTTTAAGAATCTAGTCTTAATAAACTCTGTGCCTAGAAATAAAATGGATAAGATAGGAAAAGAGTCACATAAAGATAAAGCCTCTGTTGACTTTTCCTGAAATTATGCAAAGAAATATGTATCTAATAAAATACATCATAGCAATCAGAACCCTGCCAGCTTAAATTATTATTCAAAAGGGTACCAAATTATTTACAAGAGGGCTCATTAAAAAACGCTGCTGGGTACTTTCAAAGTGATACTGCCAAGGTTACTGGGTAAAAAAAATATTGGCATAGTTTCAGATGATCCCACCTAAGGAATTAAATATTTGACTTCCTCTTTAACTAATCTATGCCCTCTTCAAAAACATCTAAAACGCAACTGATGGGCCTTCAGGGGCAGCAGCATTCAGTGTATTGACACTGTTCTACAGCCAACAACTACAGATCAATGATATTAAAGTCAACCAGAAGTGAAGTCTAGGAGTGGCTGAGGGACGGTATGAGTCATTCCAATAGTGGACTATTGGAGTTCTTTTTTAAAAAATCACTATGCACCAACAAGGTATAGCATAGGCATCTTTATCTGTTCTGGGTCCTGTTGGATAAACTCAGGGCAGGAAACCATCAGGAGGTGCACAGAAAGAACTCAGCCCCTTCCTGGCGTACCCATCAACCGTGAGTCCACTGAGACAAACAGCCTTCCAATGACACAGCAGTGAGAGCTTACACAGCGCCAAGTGTGGCTTGCATTATGAAATGTCACTGTTCTGTTAACTGAAAGTCACCTCTTTGGTTCTTTAGTTTGGGTTTAACTATAAGTGGATTAGTTCATCCCCACCCAGAGCTAAACTGTCTCAGCCTCATTCCACTACAGAGAAGCAGTCTGGGTGTTTCAGGGGACCCCCATATTCAAAACTGCATACACAAGCCATGTTAAATTAGAGTGCTGCTGCACTCAGCAAAAGGAATACCTACTATTATGAACTGAAAGCCTGTCTCCCCAAAATCCATACGTTGAAATCTAATTCCCAATGTGACAGTATTGAAAGTGGGGCCTTTGGGAGATAATTAGGTCATGTGGGCAGAGCTCTCATGAAGGGGATTAGCGCCCTTATAGGAAGAGAAGGGGGCAGCTACGAGGAGAGCTACAAAGAGTCAACGGTAGTGTCCCAATACAGTATTAGAGGAGGTGGCACAGACCTGCACTGGGACTCAGCACTCCTGCTCTCGGGGAACTGACAATGACATCCTTAAACTGTAGAAGAAGAGGTCCAAAACAGATGAGCCTAACATAAACTGTGCTTCATCAAGGGCAAGGGGCCAACAGCTGGGCAGTTTCTCTTTTAAATCCAGTCATTTGTCGGCCCCTCTCCAACATTTGTTCATTTCTAATTTAGGGGAAGCGCCTTTCCTGGCTCCTGTTTATGGGAAAAAAGGGTAGGACCCTAAGGCTTAGAATGGACTGGGCCCAGGGCTTGGCCCCTATACTGTCATAACAACACTAAAATCTTGGTGGCTTATATTTCTCGCCCATGTCTTGTGTCCATCCCTTTTCAGCTGTGGTTCTGCTCTGTGTTACCTTCCATCTAGGAACCAGGCTACTGGGACAGCCTTATGCCCACAACACTGCCCATCTCATGGCAGAGGAGAAGAAAGACAGTGAACCATGAGCTGCCTCTTAACAGCTGCTGGTTAGAACTGACACATATCACTTCCTCTCGTGTCTCACTGTTGAAAGCAAGTCACACGGCCATTCCTAAGTTCCACAGGGTAAGGATGTGGAAGCCTCTCCCAGGGGTGAGAAGCAAATAACTGTGAACAACCATTATGTGAATAATTATTACTACTATTACTTTTTAGGTATGAAAATTATATTTATTTAAACCAAGGAAAGAAATCACAAGTTATGAATATTAAAAGCTGACCAACATCACAAAATCTGTACCTGCCTTAGACACTTCTGTAATACTTTTTATTTTTGAATTGCTGAATTTTATTTTATTTACTTTTTTATACAGTTTATTTTATACATATTAGTGTATCCATGTCAATCCCAATCTCCCAATTCATCCCACCACCACCACCACCCCCACCATCTTCCCCCCTTGGTGTCCATACATTTTTTTCTCTACATCTGTGTCTCTATTTCTGCCCTGCAAACGGGCTCATCTGTACCATTTTTCTAGGTTCCACATATATGCGTTAATATACGATATTTGTTTTTCTCTTTCTGACTTACTTCACTCTGTATGCCAGTCTCTAGATCCATCCACGTCTCTACAAATGACCTAATTTCATTCCATTTTATGGCTGAGTAATATTCCATTGTATATATGTACCACTTTTTTTTTTAACATCTTTATTGGAGTAAAATTGCTTTACAATGGTGTGTTAGTTTCTGCTGTATAACAAAATGAATCAGCTACACATATACATACATCCCCATATCTCCTCCCCTTTGCATCTCCCTCCCTCCGACCCTCCCAATCCCACCCCTCTAGGTGGTCACCAAGCACCGAGCTGATCTCCCTGTGCTATGCAGCTGCTTCCCACTAGTTATCTATTCTACATTTGGTAGTGTATATATGTCCATGCCACTCTCTCACTTCATCCCAGCTTACCCTTCCCCCTCCCCGTGTCCTCAAGTCCATTTGCTACGTCTGCATCTTTATTCTTGTCCTGCCCCTAGGTTCTTCATAACCATTTTTTTTGATTCCATATATATGTGATAGCATACGGTATTTGTTTTTCTTTCTGACTGACTTCACTCTGTATGACAGACTCTAGGTCCATCCACCTCACTACAAATAACTCAATTTTGTTTCTTTTTATGGCTGAGTAATATTCCATTGTACATATGTGCCACATCTTCTTTACCTATTCACCTGTACATGGACACTTAGGTTGGTTCCATGACCTGGCTACTGTAAACAGTGCTGCAGTGAACATTGGGGTGCATGTGTCTTTTTGAATTATGGTTTTCTCTGGGTATATGCCCAGTAGTGGGATTGCTGGGTCATATGGTAATTCTATTTTTAGTTCTTTAAGGAACCTCCATACTGTTCTCCATAGCGGGTGTATCAATTTACATTCCCACCAACAGTGCAAGAGGGTTCCCTTTTCTCCACACCCTCTCCAGCATTTGTTGTTTGTAGATTTTCTGATGATGCCCATTCTCACTGGTGTGAGGTGATACCTCATTGTAGTTTTGATCTGCATTTCTCTAATAATTAGTGATGTTGAGCAGCTTTTCACGTGCTTCTTGGCCATCTGTATGTCTTCTTTGGAGAAATGTCTATTTAGGCCTTCTGCCCATTTCTTGATTGGGTTGTTTGTTTTTTTAATATTGAGCTGCATGAGCTGTTTATATATTTTGGAGATTAATCCTGTCTGTTTGCAAATATTTTCTCCCATTCTGAGGGTTGTCTTTTTGTCTTGTTTGTAGGTTTCTTTTCAAAAGCTTTTAAGTTTCATTAGGTCCCATTTGTTAATTTTTGTTTTTATTTCCATTACTCTAGGAGGTGGATCAAAAAAGATCTTGCTGTGATTTATGTCAAAGAGTGTTCTTACTATGTTTTCAACTAAGACTTTTA